CAGTCTTTGGTCCCGTCTGAATTACAATCGAGACAACTTGAGAATGTTGTCGATGTCATGGTCCAGGTGCATTAGCCGACAACTATTAGGTAGACTTTCTTAACCGTAGATGTTGAGAATCCATGGCTGTGAAGGGGAGTTGGTGAGTAGTGGGTTGTGGCTGGTTTTGTCGAAAAACGGTTTGTTTCTAAATGATTCACTAACTGTCGATGCTTGCTGGTGGTGACTGAGGTACGGAAAAAAACAACCGTGCTTGTTGGTAGGACAATTGCGTCACTTGCGGGACGATGGGGGAGATGGGATGGATTCTGGAGGTGTGTCGGTCTGCGGCCCCCCAACTCCGTGACTCTCCTGTTCAATCTGGCATCATCAATGGTATGGAAATCCCCTATTTTATTTGGACTAGACCTTTGCAAAGATGGACAGTACCCGGTAGGGGTATTTTGCAAAGACGGCGGGTCCAACCGACAACAGGGGCATTTTGCAAAACATTTTTTGTGTCAGAGGGGTATTCCGCTCGACCCATATCTTTTAGGGACATGTTGGCATATATCCTAACTTATAGGGGTATTTTCCAAATTATCCTTATTTTATATTTGCCATCTTGCGACAAACGACCCTAGTGTGAGTAGGAAAATCAAAATAAAAATCAGCGGCCCGATCGAGTACTCACTTTACAAGGACTCCATCTGGCCGCTCATTTTGCGATTTTGCAATTTTGAAGGCCTAGTGTGAATTGGAACGATACAGAGAAGATTAGCATGACTCCTACAGCAACCGGCCGGGCATTTGCTTTTCTGACCTAACGCGTTAACAGCCGTGTCGTTTTTTTTTAGATGCGTGAAAAGCCTCACACATGTACTTGTTTCAGACAATCTATATTCAAACAAATAGTTTCATAAATCTCACTAGATCATCCAACCACTCTTCCAATTTTATTCAACCACCATGCAATCGAACAATAGATAATTACGCGCATAAATGATTTATATGTAGCATGATAACTAAGATTGGAGTATCTAGTTACTTAGTTAAAACAAATGGTAAAATGGTTCACACTTGAACACCCTATTATTTGACTTCACATTTAGCAGACAATTCACATTTGTTTACTTTGTAGATTAATTTAAAGTTCAAATTAGTAATAGGATGACCCTCACTGGAGCCCCCTACTACTCCTTGAATAATGCGCAGTCCGAATTCAAATATGTAATAGAATGACTCACACTAAAGTATTCTACTACCTATTGAAAGTTAAACGGTTTAGTACGTATTAGTAGATAAAAAAAAAAAGTATGATAACACACAATGGAGAACCCTACTACTCTTCAAACACAAATTAGTTCGGTCTCAAGCAAATAATAGGGTGACCCTCACCGGAGCCCCCTACTATTGTTTAAGTAATAAGTAGTCACATCTTCAAGCAAGTAGTCGTTAGACCCTCACTGGAGCCCCCTACTACTATTTGTTGTCCAACAAGTAATAGGATGACTCTCACAAAAGTATCGTACTACCATTTTTCGGCGTTAAACAAGTTTAAGGTAAGTAAATAGATAGAAAGCAAATAACAGGATAATTAACATTGGAGTATCCTACTATTTTTTCAACACCGATTAGTTTAGGTTGAAACTAGTAATAGGATGACCCTTTGTAGACTATAGCTTTGAAATCACAAAGTCTAAACTTTAAACAAGTACTAGGACGACCCTCACTGGAGTATTATACCACTCATTTAGTGCTTAGACGAACAGTTTGTGAGAAATATATCGAACGTCGTCGATGTTAATCATTCACAAACAAGCGGTACGATGATTCAAACAAGAGTATCTTACTACCTGCAATCATATGCATTTTTGTTCACCTTTCAACATTAGTCAACTTAAGGTGAAACAAGTATTAGGACGACTCATATTGGAGTCTCCTATTATTGGTTCGACATGCAAGCGAATAGTAAAATAACTTCCACTGAATTTATTTCACTATTTATCTACCATAAGATAGTCAGTACATATATTTTCATACAGGAACATATATTCAAACGAACGACATATAGTAGACAAACGACATGATGACTCACACTGGGGCCTTCATCCCCCTTGTCAACAACTATAAAATGCACATGATATTAAGTCATACAAGTGGCGGAATAACTTGCACTGAAGCATTTCACCACTTTCTTAATACCAAACCAACATAGGTTCAAACAAATAGTGGGGTAACTTACACTGCAGTAGCCCACAATTTTGAATACTTAGTCTTCATAGTCTCAAGCAAATAGTAACGTAACTCACAATGGAGTACTCAACTACCTCTTAAGGCTAATCTGATTGAAGTCAAACAAGTAATATGACAACCCTCAATAATAAATGATAACTTTACAGTGCAAGCAATACTAACAACACTCACAGTAATTAGTTTCATATTTTAGTAACCTATTTAAAAATTAGTTGCCACTGATGCTTTACCCTAAGGGATCAACAGTAGTTAGTTGATGTAGCTTCCCAAACAACCAGTAACTACAGCATGTAGCATTTGCAGTATCAATAATGACCATCTCCATTCCCTTGTCGTGACAATTATAATCACTTGCTATAATTGGTATTTTTTTCTCTTTTACCCTTTATCTTTGACGATATGCCAAGATGAAATAATAAGGGACACAAATGATAAAGGCACCATAAACTCATGGTATCCAACAACCCATTACCTACTTCACTTTTGCCGCTGTCATCTTACTTAGGTTTTTTCCTTCTGACTTCCTAACCTTTTTATAATGTAAAACGTCGAAAATAGTCCTCAACAACAAAAGTCATTCGTTATCATCTATGTTGGCGACATATAATCATGATTACCTTTATAGTAATTTGCAAAATATAATTTATATTTTTATGACAATCTTAAAATCAGAGGCAATGTTGCATAGCAACCAACTAATTGGTAAGGAACAACTTAAGCAAGGACATTTGCAATATAGCATGCCAGTTACAACAACCGTTGCCATCAACCATTGCAAACAACAATTACGTTTGTATCAATTGCTATAACAATCAACTAACCAACTGTTGTAATTTATAACTGAGGATTGTGACAAATATCAAAGGATCGGGTGTCACAAAACAAACAAACAAAATGAAGACACAATTTTGGTGAGATAAATCAGCAGAAAAAGACAATCGGAGGAGTTATAAAAGAATGGTAGGGGAAAGTGAGAACTAGTTAAGCATATCGTTTTTGCTTGTACACAAAATTACTGACAACAATCGAGAGATGAAGCAAATTTCCTACTTCGACTGCAGCAATTAGCAGTCTGCTGCACGGGTATGCCTTCTACAACTTTTTCATCCCTTCTTATAAGTCTGTTTACTTCGAATCGACTCAATCTTTCAATATTTTTTTCAATAAATAAAGTCAATCTAACATTTTATAATATACCCGGTTCTTGTTTCTCGCCGAGTTTCAAACATACATAACCTGATTTATATTTTATATATATATATATATATATATATATAAGCGCATGGCATGACTCAGTCTGATATGACAGTTCTCTCACCCCTTTTATCGTTTCCTTACACATATCTGGATAAGATTTTCGACCAACTAAAGAAAATAATAATAATAGTAATAATAATAAGTAAAATGATAAATATTAAAAATAATAAATTATATTAATAATAGTAGTAAGAAAAAAAAAAGCACAAAATAAAAAAAATAAAAAAAATAAAAAAATGGGGAGAATCTCAGGCAAAACCCGATGGTCCCACGCGAAAGTGTGGGGTGAAAAGACCCAGGCGGCACTGGCGGCAACTGTTCGGGCCGAGATTGGTGCAAGGATGACACACATAAATCGAGAAAAACAAACAAACAAACAAACAAACTACCCAGGTGACTCTCTAAATCCGCAAACGCGAGTGGATATCTCCTTAGAACAAGAGTGAATCTCTCCTTAGAACATGGGACGATAAATCTGCAAACAAGAGTGAATCTCTCCTTAGAATATGGGACGATACATACACCACCATGATTCTTGTCTTTTGTGCATGTCGAGGGTATTGGAGCGAGGCCCTACCCATCTTCCCCCCGAACACAAAGCACCCCCATTTTGCCTGTATCTGGCCGGAAACATACCTTGTATACGCTCATTTTCAGTGTCCGTTATGTTCGGGGGAAGACGGTACGACTGTGGAGCACACGCCTGAGTCATCTCAGAAACGGTTCCCTCGAGCCCGAGCCATCTCAGTCTCAGAAACGGTTCTATCGGCATCGCCGTACCATAACATGTGGCCCAATGATCTTAGCCGAAAGGCCGAGAAAAAGCTTTTAGCGCCGACATTGTGAATGTTGGCTTTCGGTGAGTGTAGCGGGGAGGCCATGTAGTGGTCATGGAGTTTGGCTGTTTTGCTACCGTGTTCTTCCCAACACAACGCACCCTCATCATCACTGTACCGGACCAGAAAAAAGTAGCTGGTATGCATTCACATTCATAATCAGGATGCCTTCTGTGTGAAGGTTACGACGGGCTTTTCCTCGATATGACACTCTTCTCTTCCTGTCAGGATGGAGGGAACCTTGTTCTTAAAGATAGATGTTCATTCATTCTGTGATGATGACGGTCATGAGATATCATGCTAAGTTGGAGCATAACACGCCATCAACTGTGTTTAGTTGCTTCTTCTTTCTTCAGCTCTTTTCTTTTCTTTTCTTCTCCTTTTCCCTTCTTTTGAAACAGTGCATCGTTCCGTGACGGGCTGACCGCTGCACGAGGGACGTCAGGCCAGCGGCAAAAGAGCGAGAAGAAGCGCAAGGGCGGGAAGAAGGGCAAGAACGGCCGCGGACGCAGAAAGCGCGCGGTCCAGCCCGTGTGTGTGTGTGTGTGTGTGTGTGTGTGTGTGTGTTGTGTGTGTGAGAGAGAGAGAGAGAGAGAGAGAGAGAGAGAGAGAGAGAGAGAGAGAGTGTAGA